CCAAGATCCTGCCAGTGAACGAGGAGAAGCCCTCGCCCAGGTAGGTGTTTGCCATCAATGACCAAGGAGGATACTTAATTTGCAATAGCTTGACATGAGTGGTTGATGTTATGCAAGTGAGCTTGCAGCAGCCGATTACAGTCATGATTAGTAATTGCCTTTTAGTAATTAAGCAATCATGAGCTTCCTGAGACAGAATCTTGTTGGAGTGAAGGACAGATCAAGCGTTTTCGATTTAATGTGCTCTTCTTGCCTGCAGTGGTGAGAGATGTGGACAGGAATGAATTGTTGGAACCAGGATCTTGTTCTTGAGAATCTTGACGTGTTCTCCATACGGAGAACACCCCTATCCCTTGTCTTTCGTGGAGAGGGACTTGGTAAACTGCCCTCCTGCTCGGGCACTGACCCTACAGGCAAATCTCAGCCTAGAGACTGGCCCAATTTTGAAGACTCCAGCTCAGCAAAGCTAGCTTCCAATGTTACTCTTTGTCCCTCCTTTTCATCATTGTTCTGTTATAGTATTTTTTGTTTGTTTGTTCAAGGGGGTGGGCCACCCCAGCAGTGCTCAGGGGATACTTCTGGCATTGTGCTCAGGGGATTGACTGTATGTGGTGCTGGGGACGGAGCCAGGGTCAGCCTCATGGAAGGGAAGCAGTTTAACCCCTGTACTATCTCTTTGGCCCTATGTTGGGTTATTATAGAATGATTTTCCTGTTCCACAGCCCCTGCCACTGTCCCTGCACAGTCTTCGGGTAAGCCTGAAGTTGTGCCTAAAGCCTCTGTTTCTTCTAGGCCTGATGACTTTTTCCTGAGGAGGGTCGCCTGATAAAATGTAGCATGATGGACTGGACAGATAGTACATGGGTAAAGGGCTGGGCTTGCAGGACTTGTAAATCCAACTTACCTGGTTCGATCCCCGCAACCCCGTGTGCTCTATCAAGCCCCACACCCCAATGAGCCGGTATGGCTCAAAAAACAAACTAAACACACACATGTGAATAGCGGTAGGGCGTCTGCCTTGCACGCAGCCAACATGGCCAATTTGAGTTCGATTCCTCCACCCCTCTCGGAGAGCCCGGCAAGCTACCGAGAGTATTCGATATGCCAGACACAGTAACAACAAAGTCTCCAATGGAGACGTTACTGGGCCCGCTCGAGCAACTCGACGATCAACGGGAGGGCCTTTACCTTTACCTTATATATTATATATATGTAAAAGAAAACTAGAAGGTTGCACACTAAACTGTTAGCTGCAAAAATCCCAAGAAAGTGGTTATTGGTAGGGAATGAGATTACAAATACTTTTCTTTTCTTTTCTGGTTGATGGTTCACTGTATTTTCCCTAATCAGTATATTATGACTCTCTCTCTTTCTTTCTCTCTCTCTCTCTCTCTCTCTCTCTCATCTCTCTTCTAAAGAAACACATTTGGTTTCGTATTTTTAAAGGAGCCACTTTTTTTTTTCTTTTTAAAAAAATTTATTGGGGCTGGAGCGATAGTACAGTGGGTAGGGCGTTTGCCTTGCACGAGGCCGACCCGGGTTCGATTCCCAGCATCCCATATGGTCTCCTGAGCATCACCAGGGGTAATTCCTGAGTGCATGAGCCAGGAGTAACCCCTGTGCATCGCCGGATGTCACCCAAAAAGCAAAAAAAATATATATTCATTTATAAAATTTTGTATTAAAGAACCATGATTTACAAAGTTATTGATAGTTGTGTTTTAGGCATACAATAATTCAACACCAGCCCTCCCACCAGTGTCACCTTCCCTCCACCAGTGTTCTCAGATTCCCTCCCCATCCCGACCCCCACTCTACCCCTACCTGTCGACTTGACAGGCACATTACAAAGTTCCAGTGGTTGGCGCTTTGATCTCTTGTTTTCAGTTCTGTGGAATCTGTGTTTTGGGTTCATGACTGTGTCCCTTGCCATATCACTGATGTAACTGAAGCCCCGGTGCTTGTTTTTACCCATTTCCTCTTGTTCTCTGCTTCTCTCCTTGGTTTCTCTCCTTCTTTGTCTGTCTCCTCTCTACACATTGGGATCAAGGATGATCTAAGCGTCCCCCGAAAAAGGGGCACTTTTTCATAAATTATCTAATTTTCTTCTTATGCAGCTCACTCATGTGCCCCCATTAAATGCCCAGGAGTTTTCTCCAGCTTGTTAGTACTGGATTGTTTCTAGATCTCGGTTACTGCATGGCACTGTGATGTCTGGCCTCATCTCCTTGCTGTGCCTCAAGTGGAAGGGAATGCAGGGCCCCCTCTCAGGCCAAGAGATTGGGGGGGGGGGCTATGGGTGTATGGGCCAGAGCTGGGACCTAGGAGGAGAGAAAGACCTGAGTGAAACATTGGAATTTTGATCAAGAACAAATTCCAGTTATTTCATTTTCTTGGTCAGTGACTGGGAGACAGAGCGTAGATTGGAGGCTGGTTCTGTGAGCACCAGAAGCCTTACCTGACTTCTGCAGAGTCCAAAAGCACAGGAGACAAACATTTTCAAACATTTTTCTGGGAAGCACTCTACAGACGTTTCTTTTTTTTGGGGGGGGGGTCACACCCAGCAATGCTCAGGGGTTACTCCTGGCTCTGCATTCAGGAATTAATCCTTACTCCTGGCAGTGCTTAGAATTACTCTTACTCCTGCTGGTGCTCAGAGGACCATATTGGGATGCTGGGAATCGAACTCCGGTCGGCCGCGTGCAAGGCAAACACCCTACCCTCTGTACTATTGCTCCAGCCCCTCTGTTTTTTTTGTTTGTTTGTTTAAATAAAAGGATCATAACATGGTTTATGTTGCCAGAGATGCATTGTTTAGACATTTTTTTTTCTCTTTAAGCTTTTCATAGTATATCTTATTTCCCGTAATCTTTCATTCTTTTCTCATTTTTATTTTCTCTTTTGAATCTTATGCAAGTATCCATTTATCTAGATGTACTGTGGTGATCTTGGAGGCTGGGGGCTGGCTGCTCCTCTCAGTTTGTTTCTGTTTCTCTTTTTTTTTTTATTGGTTTGGCTACTCTGGTGCCTTATATTTTCATATTAATATCAATATCAGTTTGTCAAATTTTCAGAAAGCCAGCTGGAATTTTGATAGAGATTGCATTGAACATGTCGATCAATATGAGGCAGTATTTCCATCTTAACATTAAGTCTTCTGAAGCATATACACTGGGAGTCTTCTTAGGTCTTGAATTTCTTTTAACAGTGCATTGTAGCTTTCAGAATATATATATATTTTTCTTTTTTTATTAGTGAAAAACCATGAGGTACAGTTATAGGCTTACAAATTTTGTGCTTGGGTTTCAGTTATACAATGATCAAGTGCCCATCCCTCCACCAGTGCCCGTCATCCTTTATGGCCTTGAAGCCATTGCTGGATGACGGAAGGGGTGTGTGGGGAATGGTTCCTGGGAGAGGGGCGCAGAGGCAGGCCTCTCTGAGCTGAAACCCAGGTTCTTCTTTCCATGTGGAGAAAGATTCCTCCCCAGGCAGTCTCAGAGTTCCCGGGATTCCTTTCCTGGGCCCTGGCCCTCGTGACAGATCTAGCAACATTATCAGCTACCAGGCGGGGATAGCAGCTCTGAATCTGAGAAGGACCTTGACTTGATCACATGGGCTTTGGGTTTGGATCCTAGTTCAGACCAATCAGCTGTGTGACTTTCAGATGACCTCTCTGTGCCTCTGTGTTCTCTTCTGTGAATCAGGGCTGGTAATAGTAGTATGTTGCCTGAGGGTTGTTCTGTGGATTCAGTGAGTGAACACATGTACACAATTCACAGCTAAGGAGTCTCAACTATTATAGAATCTAAAATTCCTAAGTTAGGAACCTCATTCACCATTGGTGGGATTGTAAATTGGTTTAGCCTCTATAGAAAACAGTATGGAAACGTCAAAAAAAAAAAAAAAGGAAACTAGGACCAGAGAGATAATATGGGAGGTTATTATGGTCTTTCTCTCCTGCAGTGGTTAGCCCAGAGCTAGCATAGAACCGGGGCCCAAGAACCGATAATTACTCTGAGGATATTGTGCTTTTAAATTCATTTTTTTTCTTTTTAATATTCATGCCAACTTCCTGATGAGCATATAATATGGAAACAAAGTCCTGCTTGTATGCCATACTCTTAGAGTAGACTGTTACTACATGTGACTCAGTCCCTTAAGCTAGGAAGGTAGACCAGAAAGACAAAATCCCTCCACTCAAGGCCCCGCTTGTCAGTCATACTTTGACAAATGATTGTATGTTACAAGTGCCATATTAGGACTGAAATAATGGAACTAGTTCACTGTATTGGGGAAGACCAATAAAAGAATTCAGAAATGCTTGCCAGTTCCTCCAAGGATAGACTTTTGTAACAGAAAAGATGTGATGCAGGCATCCAGGCCCAAGGAGAGGACGTATCACAGAATTATCAAATCTGTGATACAGATTGAGAGGACCAGTTGTTCGGGAGGTTTTGGCAGCAGCCACTGGGTGGTGGTGATGGGCCCAGGAGAAGGGAAAAGTTGGTCGGAATACTGGTAAGACCCCATGACCCAGGACCTACAGCGACCCTCGGGGGCATCCTCAGTTCCTTCTTTTAGCTCCCAGATGTGTCTCCCAGGATCCGTAAATAAGTACCTTGAAGGTTTCCAGGGGTTCTTGGTTCCTGATTCCTGGTCCCTCAACTTGTGTGTGCCTAGATGGGGAATCTCCTTCCCGTGCTATAGAAAATGATTCTGCTCATGTGAAATGTTTATGACACGGCTGCTGGGAGGAATAAAGGTTATGGGTGAGAGGACACCCGCATCATTTGCTTTCCGTGGTGGGAGGGGGGTCTGAGAAAAGGAGAAGTTCTGTTGTGACCAGACACCTGCTTCCTCTCACCCCAGAGGGATGTGTCAGATGGCTCCTGGCAGGAGTCAGCCCCGCGGTTCCCACGGAGACAACTGGAGCAGTGTGAGCCCAGGGAGAAGGTCCCGCCAAGCCCCGCTCACTGCTGCCTGTGTTTGCCTTTCAGCTGCGTAAATGAGTATGGAAGATTATGATTTCCTGTTTAAGATTGTTTTAATTGGCAATGCCGGTGTGGGGAAGACGTGCCTAGTTCGACGGTTCACTCAGGTAAGAACCCTTGGCAGGCTGGGACTCTTGTTCTCTGCCTGGCAGCATTAGAGAACCCAGTGGGATGGGTGACGGGTCCCAGGTGCAGTCTCACAGCTGCCCGTCCTGACACCCCTCTGAAGGTGCTCAGTATACGGTAGCCAGAGTGAGAGCTTTGAACCATCTCAGGAGCAAAGCTCTGATTACCATCACGACCCTCTGCTCTCAGGAAATGGAATGAGCAGTGGTTGAGCTTGTCTGCAGTGTTCGAAAGAGATGAGTGTATGTAAAATATATATCGCTTCACCATGACCCCCAGGTAGAAACAACTTAACCTGGCCTTAGACTAAACCTAGCTAGTCATTTCTTTTCTTTCAAAACCCAAATGCAAATGAAACTATTCAAACTCTCTGGCCTGGCCCTCAAATCCTCCTAGGAAACTGAGTGAATAATGTTGGTGTAGAGCCAAATATGCTGATTTTTCTATTCTAAGTGGGAACGAAATGAGAAGAGTGAAGGACAATTTGAACTAAATTAAATGTCTGCTCTATACTGATTCCTTATAATCCAAGTACTGGTACTTCTTGAGATGATCCTTTGGAGAATGATTACTCATGATTGGATTCCCCCTTTGATACAGAGAAATGAACAAGAAATGATCTTGAGGTTGACCTGTTTGGGGATTTTCTTCAGAAAAATGAATGGGGGAATTGTCATGAGTGCATCTTGCATTTTTATAAAGTATCTGCTGGGAAGGTTGAGACTGGAACTTCTGTTGGGTACATAGGGCAACCTGGTGTCCGGGAAGGAACACGGAGCTGTCTGGCTCATCCTGTGCACCTGAGGAAGTGAGCCCCTGTTAGGCTTCCCAGGTTCCCTGGCATGCCAGAGGGACCTACTGACGCCCAAGGTCTTCCCATCACTGTCAGTCTGAGTCTCTGGATAAACCAAAGGGTTTAGGGCCAGAGAGTTACCTTTAGAAATGTCAGGGGCTTTCCCATGACAAAGGAGTACAGAATAGAGCTTGTTCTCTTTTCTAGACTTTTGCCTGGTAACATTAAGTAAGAAACCAAAACACATTTCAGCTCAGCCATCCACCATGGTGTTGTGTTAGAAACTCCAACTGGTTTTAGTTCCACCTGACATTAGTCATCTTTTCTGCTTTTGGCAGGAGCACAAGATTACAGAAATGTTGAGAAGTTTTCAGAATCTTTATCAGAAATTCCCTAGGCAGGGGTGGGGTATGAGTCAATCCAGCAAAAGGGCTCAATTATGTGGTAAAGAATCAAAATAGACTTTCAGTGGCCTGCTTATTACAGTATCTATAACTGCAGATCTCTAATGATGCACACTTGAAACATAATTTTATTATATGACATTGCTTCAATAAAAGTGATAAAAAAAATAAAAAAAAAACTCCCTTGACCTTACTTACCTTCAAGTCTTCGTCAGCCCACTCCGTTCATTTTATAAATGAAAACCTCAGGGCCTCTTAGTATTTCACAGCCTGTTAGTGATGAGACATTCAGATCACGTCTTCCGTCCTTTGGTTTTTAGCCCAATCCTTTTCATTTTCTGTGAGTTTGAATCTTGGAAACTACAGAATCTGGCTTTCTCCATTTTTAAGTGTTTGTTGTTTGAGACATCATGATTTACAATACTGATAATGGCAGGGTTTCACACATGAAGCACTCCAACCCCATGCCCTCCCCCAGAGCGCCCACTTCCCCCCACTGGTCCTAGTGTTCCTCCCCTCCTGTTTCCCTTCTGCCCCACCAAGCCCACTTGCTGTGGGAAGCTTTCTACTGAAGACCAGGTCTCTGTTTCTGTTGTCCTTGGCGTTTGTTACACCCTGCATTTCTTTATATCCTGTATATGAGAAGAATCCTGGGACAGGGTGGGGGCGGAGCGATAGCACAGCAGTAGGGCGTTTGCCTTGCAAGCGGCCAATATGGCCGACCCGAGTTCGATTCCTCCGCCCCTCTCGGAGAGCCCGGCAAGCTACCGAGAGTATTCGATATGCCAGACACAGTAACAACAAAGTCTCCAATGGAGACGTAACTGGGCCCGCTCGAGCAAATCGACGATCAACGGGAGGGCCTTTACCTTTACCTTTATATGAGAAGAATCATTCTGTATCTCTCCCTTCTGTTGACTACTGCACATAGCTGTTACTCTCCAGATCCATACATGTAACTGTAAATTGCACGATTTCATTGTTTCTTATAGCTGATTTTATTGTTTCCATTGTACGTATGTACCATAGTTTCTTTATCCAGTCATCTGTTCGTGGACACTTGGATGGTTTCCAGATTTTTAGCTATTGTGAATCATGCTGCAGTGAACACAGAAGTGCAAATGGCTTTTCTGAAAAGAGTTAATTGGGCCCTTGGGGTATATGCCAAGAAGTAGAATTGCCGGGTCAATTCCTAGTTTTTCGAGAAGTGTCTGCATTTTCCAAAAAGATTGAGCCAAGCTTTCTCTTCAGAAGCATGCAAATCTGCCCTAAAAGGTAAACGTTCTTTCATTGTGGCAAATCAATTTTTACCAATAAGCATTCTAGGCCTTATCTTTCTTTCTGACTACCTTTGTCTTTGTAAGTGCTCAAATCCCTGCAAAGTCCCTCTAAAATAGGGAGAGTTATGTTTGTTTTTGTTACTTTGTAGACCGTTAAAATGAATTGGAGTCAGCTGTTTTGAGGAACAGGCTGGTGAGGGAGGCACGGGGAAAGATTTATGTGTTCTTTGGTGCTTGCCGGGCTACAAAACAGCTGGAGCTGTGAATGTGAAGCTGGGCAAACCTTGTATTTGAGCCAAACCAAAAGGGACGAAAATTGATTCAATATTTGTAAGTAAAGAATGAATGCTTTGTCGAAAGTAGACTATGGACTGAACATGTTTGCCACTCAATGCCTCTTTTGCAGACCACAACACCCGAAAGGAGAGAGAGAACACAGGGGATTGCCCTGCCACAGAGACGGGGGGATGGGGGGATGGGGGTGGGAGGGATATTATCCATGGTGGTGGAAAATGGGCACTGGTGGAGGGATGGGTATCTGATCATTGTATAATTGAAACCAAAGCACAAAAAATTGTAAATCTACAACTTTAAAATAAATAAAATAAAATAAAGGGGAAAAAAAAAAAAAAAGAATGAATGCTTATATTTACTTCTTTTGCAACATGTAATGGAATATTTTCTGTTGGTTTGATGCTCAGCCATTTGAGTTCAAACTTGGATTTTCTTGCTCAGTAATGGACTTAGTAAAACATGTCCCAATCTTAGCTGTCAGAGTTGATAGAGCTGTTTTACTTTAATTTTTGGAAATTCTGTAGTATACGTGAAAAGGGAGGAGAAACGAGGTACCGTCTTGGTAGACTTCCATCCTAATTTCAACACCCCACTTCCAAGCTTACAGAAAATATTATGTTACAGTAGTTACATTGAACATATTTTCGTCAAAGTAGTATACTTTGAATTTAGATTTCAGTCTGAGATAAAGCCTCTTTTGCTTGTGGTTGCTCTGAATTGCTTATATCAGCCTTCAGCTCATTGAATTTGAGGCCCAGACTGGGGACTGCCCTGCTTGAGGTCACACAGTGATCTTCAGACTGCTGTCTTCAGGGAGGTGGCGTGACAGTACAGTGGGTACACCTGCCTTGCTTGTGGCTGACCCTGGTTTGATCCCTGTTAGAGTCTCATGGGGTGTCCCTCAAGCACTGGAGCACTGCCAGGAGTGATCCCTGAGTGCAGGACCAGGAGTAAACCCAGAGCACCCTAGGGTGTGGCCCCCAAACCAAAAATAGACTACTGCTTCCTGGTTTAGAGCTAGTTCTGTTATACTTTCTCCCTGAATAACTTTATTTTTATCATTAATTATTGGTTTGGGGAATTTCCCCCAGTTGTGCTGAGGACATACTCCTGGTTCTGTGCTCTGGGATCACTCTTAACAGTGCCCAGAAGACCACGTGCAGGGCTGGGATTGAACCAGTGCCAGTGTAATGGAAGGCAAGTGCTTAAACCCCTGCACTCTATCTTTAGGATCTGAGAGGCAGTTTTTTGTTTTCTAAATTAAATTCCTTATGTTGAATCATCAGGAGATACACAGTTACAAGGTCATGATCGGGCTTCAGTCATACAGTGTTCCAACACCCATCCCTGTACCAGTGTACCTTTCCCACCACCTGTGCCCCCGGTTTCCCTTCCACCACCCCTTCCCCAGACTCTGTGACAGGCACTTTTCTTCTTTCTCTCCTGTTGGACATTACTGGATGCAGTATAGGTACTGGCAAGGTAAAGGCCCTCCCGTTGATCGTCGATTTGCTCGAGCGGGCCCAGTAACGTCTCCATTGGAGACTTTGTTGTTACTGTGTCTGGCATCTCGAATACGTCACGGGGAGCTTGCCAGGCTCTGCCATGCGGGCGAGATACTCTCGGTAGCTTGCCGGGCTCTCCGAGAGGGGCGGAGGAATCGAACTCGGGTCGGCCATGTCAGCTGCGTGCAAGGCAAACGCCCTACCGCTGTGCTATCGCTCCAGCCCCTGAGAGGTCATTATGTTAGCTCCTCCTGAGAGGTAATTTTACTCTTCCTTGACCTTTTCTCTTTCACACAGAGTACATACCTGTCGGCCCCTACCTAACCATCCTAATTCATCTTTATGGCTCTCCTTGTCCGATTGTTTCATTTTATCCATTGAAATTGGGGCACTACCTTCTCATTGACCGCCCTTCTCCCTCAGTTTTTTTCTTTACTTTGTATCCCTTACACTTCCTATATGTTGCTTTCAGCATTGTTCTCCTACTTTCTTCCTGCTTTCTTCTTCCATCGAAACCTCCCTAGAAAATCCTATTAAACAGTTTCCACTTAACACTACCTAAAATTCAGTTTTCTACCAGTGAAGGAAATTGGTCTGGGTGAGTCGTAATTGTGGGGGACTAGGGCTGGCAGAGCTTGGGAATGCCATTGAAAGATTCATGGAACTGTTGTTTTCCTTTATTTCTTCTCTAGGGTCTTTTCCCCCCAGGTCAAGGAGCCACAATTGGAGTTGATTTTATGATTAAGACAGTGGAGATTAATGGTGAGAAAGTAAAGGTAAGATGCTAACTGTTCACTCAGACTTTCCTTGCTCTGTGTGGGAAATAGTGTTTTCATAATACTTATTAAATGACTCTTTTCATTCAAGTCCACTTTTTTTTTTAATGTAGGAGTACTGCCATTTATTCAGCCATTGATTAAGCTGATTGAATTGGGCATGAACTCCACATTACTTTTTTAAAATTCAGAATGTTAATTTTATTATTATTATTATTATTATTTGCTTTTTGGGTCACACCCGGCAATGCACAGGGGTCACTCCTGGCTCTGCACTCAGGAATTACTCCTGGAGGTGCTCAGGGGACCATATGGGATCCTGGGAATCGAACCCGGGTCGGCCGCGTGCAAGGCAAATGCCTGCCCGCTGTGCTATTGCTCCAGCCCCTATTTTATTATTTTTTAATTATTATTATTTTTTAAATCACCATGAGGTACAGTTACAAGGCTTTCCTGTTTGAGTTTTAGTCATACAATGATCGATTACCCAACCCTCCACCAGTGCACATCTTCCACCACCAAGGTTCCCAGTATACCCCCCCCATCCCAACCTTCCCCCTGCCTCTATGGCAGACAATTTCCCCCATACTGTCTTTTGTATTGCTTGTTATAAACAGCATAAGATGTTGAGCAGCCACAAGAGTGGCCATGTTCTCCTGGAATTCTAGAATTTTAGATAATTAGGGTCTGGATAAATCTCTGCTGGGTTTGGAGATTCTTTTGTGTGTCTCTGATCATGGCTGTTTAAGAGCTTAAGTAGCAGCCAGAGGCAGTGTGTGGGCATGACCTCCAGGGTCCCAGGGGATAGGGGGATGAGAGGGACTGGCCCATCTCCCATCCCTTGAGGCCAGGAGTTTGCCTCACCGAACCCATGTGCCTGCACTTCTCACTGGGTTCTGGAAGTTGGCAGCCACTGGGGTTCAAGGGAGCAGGTGGAGGGACAATGCCTGCCCCGATTTGAGGCATCCCGGTGAAGTCCGTCTGGCTTAAAGTCCAGAGGCATCTCTGCAGCAAGTTGATCGGTTCATGGATTCTTTTGTGTGTCTCTGGATCATGGCCCTTGTTTCCATCTTCTCCAGAGAAGTAAACTATTGGCAGATGCCCTGCAGGGCACACCTGCTTGTCTGCAGCATGGCCCTAACTGCGGCTTTTGATGTCTTTTGAGATTTATGGGTCTCTGAAATAAGGCCAGTAAATGAGCTTGTATAGCTGAGCTGGAAGTGGTTTGTGAGTGTGGCTCCCGCAGATCTAACTTTTGGCTCTTTAATTTCTTAGATCAAAGGTAAACTTGGCCCCAAGTTGTTGGGATTCGGCCAAAGGCACAGCAGCAATTTTGAGGTATCAGGAAGCCTGAAGGCACCATCAGGCTGCTGATGCACTCACCCCGCAGGTACAGGTTGACCTGTTGGCGGCACCATACCCCCTTCAAGCCCACTTTGGAACTGAGTGACTCCGCCACAGCAACTTGGGTCAGGAAGGGTCCTGGGTGGTGTTTAGAGATGGGATGTGCATGGAGATAGAAAGCACATGGACAAGGAACATTTCCCTTCCCTTCTTCCCTTCCCCTGCCCCCTTCTTTTCCTCCCCTTCCCTTTACCCTGCGTTTTCTTTTCTTTTCCTCTTCTCATTTTATTGATTTTTACTTTAGTTAGGGCTGGAGTGATAGCAAAGTGGGTAGGGCATTTGTCTTGCATGCTTCCAACCTGGCCGACACGGGTTTAATTCCTCCGCCCCTCTCGGAGAGTGCGGCAAGCTACCAAGAAAATCCCGCCTGCACAGCAAAGCCTGGCAAGCTCCCCGTGACATATTTAATATGCCAAACACAGTAACAATAAGTCTCACAATGGAGATGTTACTGGGTCTGCTTGAGCAAAATGATGGACAACGGGAGGACAGTGCTACAGTGCTACAGAGTTACTTTATTTAAACACCACAATCTACAGAGTTGTTCATAGTACAATTATTCTGGGCCTCCAGTGTTCCAGCACCAACCCCGCGGCCCGAGTGATGTTCCCTCCACTCTCATCTCCGTCTTCCCAGCCACCGCGCAAGTGTGTCCCCTTAGCGGGCACATAGTCATGTGTTGTATCTTGCTCGTTACAACCAAATAGCTGAAGGAATTATCAAAAGTACTTTAGTAAAAGAAAATTTGTGAAAATTGTTCTCTCTCACTGTGAGGTTGTTAAGTCTTTGAGACTTTACTAAGCTGTTCATTGCTAATTGAGACTTCTGTATTATTGCTTTTGTCTGTTGAATTTAGTTGGCTTCTGTGTTTCTTTCCCATCCGATGTGACGTGCTCCTCCTGGAATTTCAGTACCGTGGAGTTTGGAGGTGTCGTGTGGTCATAGAAACTTCGTGTGCTATAGAAACTCCAGGATCGGTAGAACTGAATGATCTGTAGAAATGGGATGAGTCTGAGTGAAGCTGTGGAGATTAGGCCATAGGCCTTTGGCATGGTGGTGACGCTGGGGTGTGGGTGCAGCTGCCAAGGCTTTGGCAGGGCAGGAACAAAGCCCGCCCTCCTCCTGAGGGTTCCCCAGAGTTTTCATCTGGAGGGATGAGTATATTCATAAATTTCAGCTGCTTGGATTGAACAAAATCTCACAAGCTAAGTTTCCTCGTGGATTTAGTTTGTGACTCTGAAGAGCAGGGCTAGGGGGTGAGTCGACATGGCAGTGTCTGTGGGGCTTCTGGAAGTACACCCGCACTCTGAGAAGACCCCAGAGTTCTCAGCCCCACCTCAGAGTATCTGGAAATTTCAGTTTGGTGTCCGTGCAGAGATTCTTAGTGAAGCCGTGGGATTAGGTCGTTGGCATGGTGGTGGCAGGGGAGTGTGAATGTGGCTGCCTGAGCTGCATCGGGGCAAGGATCCACCCTGCCCTTTCCCCCTCAGGGAGCGTCTTCAGTTGGGGGACCAGAGTGTCCATGAGTTTCAGCTGCTTGGCTTGCATCTCCTCAGAGATTCAGCTCATGAATCTGAAGAGCAAGGCTGGTGTGGAGCGAACAGGGCAGCAGCTGTGGGGGAGGGGCGTGACTGCACGCTCTATGTGACCTTTCTTTTCTCTCTCTCCCCTTCCCTACTTCCCCCCTCCCCTCCCACTTCTTCTGCGCCCCCCATCTTCCCTCTCCTCCTCTTCACTCCTCCCCTCCTTTCCCTTCCCCTCTCCAATCCTCCCCTTCCCTCCCCTACATTCTTCTTCCTCTTCTTTCATTTCGCTTTCCTGCCTGCCCTTCCCCTCTCTTCCCTCTTTCACTTTTGTGCTGCTGGGGTTGGAGTCCAGAGCCTCACACATGCCAGGCAAGTCGTTTACCATGCAGCTACATCCCTGTCATGAAGGAAACTTCATTTGGGATCTCCTACACTGGGCCGATCAGCAACACCACCTAGTTTCTACATTTGCCGGGGCCCACTCTGGCATCTAAATAATTGATTGAGTTACTGTGTCTTCCTCCGTATCCCTGTGCCAGTAGGAAGAGGTAGGGAATTAGTGGGCTAAAAAAGATCCAGGCTCTCCTATCTTCACTGCAGCCTCTGGGGGTTTAGTACATTTCAGATCTATGTTTATAACAGAAGTAAGAGATTGTTTATCACATCATTGTCTATCACATGTGCTTTGACACATACTGTCACTAACTTGATCCTGTGAGGATGAAGTTTATCTTCATCGGTGAGGTGAATTGTATCTTCATTTTATGGGTTCTAGAGAGGAGAATGACTTATTTATTTGTGATGAATGACTTCCTTATTTGTGGTGAATGACTTATTTGTGGCTACGCCGTTAGGACTGGAGCGATAGCACAGCGGGTAGGGCGTTCGCCTTACAAGCAGCCAACATGGCCGACCCGAGTTCGATTCCTCCGCCCCTCTCGGAGAGCCCGGCAAGCTACCGAGAGTATTCGATATGCCAGACACAGTAACAACAAAGTCTCCAATGGAGACGTTACTGGGCCCGCTCGAGCAAATCGACGATCAACGGGAGGGCCTTTACCTTTTACCTTACCCCGTTAGGACAGGAGGGAGGAGTTAGGATTTGACAATGTTTTGCAAGCCAGTGTCCCCGCTGCCACCCTGCTCTTTCCCTTGCCTGAGGTGAAGGGAGCGAAGGCCAGTAGGTCCATCTGTCACTTTGGCAAGGAAAGGAGGGAGGTGATCAGAGTAAAATGTGAAGTGAGGTTAAACTGGAAGAAGTAAGCGAGAGAGTGCTTGGCTGTGTGCTCTGCCTGCCCCTCCAAGTAAGACTCCACTGTCAAACCCCACGGAGCTAAATCCTCTGCAGAGAATTAGTCACCCTGAAGCTGGAGAGATAGTACAGCTGGTAGGATGTTTATTTTGCACACAGCAGACCTGGATTCGATTCCCAGCACCACAGATAGTTTCCTGGGCATTAACGGGAGTGATCCCTATACACTATCAAGTGTAACCCCCAAACAAATCTACAAAATAAAATAAAAAATGAAGTAACTGTGAGCCAGAAAAGGTAGTGCAAGGACTGGGGCCCAGACTTTCAGACAGGAGTAGGAATTTGTTGCCCAGCAACGCTCGCTGGGAATGATGCTTAAGCACCGCATTAAGAGGAATCCCCGAGCATTGCCTGATGTACCCCCTCCAGATTCCTCCGCCCCTTGCAAAAATAAAAGCAACCCAGGAACAAGCTAAAAAGAAACAGTCACCCTACCATCAGCGTTTTATTGAAAACTATGAAGTCAGAGTTTCAGATGAATCCCAACTTTGAATTCATGTTATCTGCACTTTTTCCTACTTGTAAATGCCCCAAGAATGCCAAGGCATTTGATGGTGCTCTCACGGCAGAGAAGTGTTCAAGGAAGCCTGGTTGAACTCACACCTGGCTCCCTCGCCTCTCTCCCAACACCGACTCCTCGTGGGTCCCTTACTGCCACATGCTCTGAGGACGGTGCCAGTAGTACAGGGATGCAAAATCAGGGCGTGAGTCCCGGTAAATGCCAAGGGGCAAGCACAGGAGATCTGTGTTTGGGTGGG